CCTCCGTGCTCGAGTTCCTGCGCCGTATCACGGCTGACCCGGCCATTCCCTATCCTTCATCCGCGTATTTCCATCCCTCTGCCGACGGGCGCACCGAATGCAACCATGCGTCATCCGCCATGATCTATGCTTTCTGCCGCGCTGGCATTACGCTTCGCGTGCACGCGCGACCGCGCGACTTACCGCTTCGCATGTATAGGTGTATATATCCTATGTTTGCGTACAGGCTGTTTCACAAGTACGTGTCGATCTAGGCAAATGGAATAGAATAATGTTCGCTCGGGTGATATTGGATTAAATTATAATATATATTGGATATTTGGAAATGAAATAGAAAAGTGAAAGTAGTTTGTAAAGGTTGTTTTTGTACAGGGTGTTTCACAAGTACGTGTCAATCTAGGCAAATAAAAACAATGTTCGCTTAAGTGACATTGAGTTTGGATTAGTTATCCATGGAGATAGTTTATGTCTGTTTATGTATAGGGTGTTTCAAAAATAAATCTTAGATGGCATTGGATTGAGTTTAACAGTTATCCATAAAAATAAGTGTTTTGGGATTAATATCGTGTAGAAATAAAAAATTATTTATGTACAATGTTTCAGAAGATTTATTTAGGTATATTAAAATATAATATTGCTTATTTAATTAACATTAATTTGGTTTTGTCTTAGTTTTTGAATTATGAATAAAAAATTGGCAAATAATTATTATTTTCTCTTTATCCTTTTTTATAAAATGTTCAAAAAATGAAAATCTAACAGATTAATATCAGGAAATAATATATAACCATATAATAGATCCATTTTACTCACGAATTTTCGAACTTTAAACATTTTGTTTTGATTTTTTAATTATTTTTTTAACATTTTTAAAATATCTTTTGAAATATTGACACATATTTTTTAATTATCCTATGTAAATACAATTTACTGGTGTTTCTATATTTGTATATGTTTCCTTTATATACATACGGGGTTGGCATTTATATAAGGACGCATTTACATCGGTTGGTCACGGAGTTTAGAGATATAGGCGTGTGCGTGGCCATCTCTGTCCGCTCGTGCTCGCGTCTCTATTAAAGCTATGCTCATTTTCAGCGGCTTGTGTATATTGTGCCCGCACAACCATCCTCTGCGAATATTTAGAGAGCTCGATGAAACAACACTGAGCAGGATGATCTG